TGCAGGAGCTATCCAGTCAAATTAATGAACTAATCAGCAAGGTTTTATTAGACTAAGCTTCTCACCCTGGGGAGCACCGATCTTGTTTGTGAAGAAGAAAGACGGATCGTTCCACATGTGCATCGACTACAGAGAACTAAACAAGCTTATCGTCAAGAATCGTTACCCTCTACCTCGCATAGACGATTTGTTCCACCAACTGCAAGGGGCGAATTACTTTTCAAAAATTGATCTGAGATCCGGGTATCACCAGTTACGAGTGCTAGAGGAGGATGTTCCGAAGACATCCTTCCGAACTCGTTATGGACACTACGAGTTTGTAGTGATGCCTTTTGGATTGACCAATACACCCGCAATATTCATGGACTTAATGAATACGGTGTGCCGTCCTTACTTGGATCAGTTCGTCATTATATTCACCGATGGCATACTTATGTACTCTCATAGTAAGGAGGAGCATAGTAAACATCTACGACATATCTTAGAAACACTACGGTCAGAGAGGATCTACGTGATGTTTTCGAAGTGAGAATTCTGGATTCGAAGAGTCGAATTCTTGGGTCACGTGGTTAGCGAAGAAGGAATTCACATGGACCCTTCTAAAATTAAAGCTATTGATAACTGATCAGCACCGAAGATGCCTACAGAAATTCGTAGGTTCATTCAGAATTTCTCTAGGATCGCGAAACCGCTTACTACATTGACCCAGAAAAGGCGTGGCCTTTGAATGGGAAGAGAAACAAGAAAAAGCATTCCAAACGCTAAAGCGAGCCTTATGCAGCGCACCGATACTATCCCTCCCAAAAGGGATAGAAGAGGTCCTGGTTAATTATGCATCCAACCATGGGCTAGGCTGTGTCCTTATGCAACAAGGTAAGCTTTGGAAGACATGTTGCGATCCTGTGTGATAGAAGAGGTCGAATACCAGAATAGTCCATCCCCCAAATGTATAATCAGCCAAGGTTAACACAGCCAAGGTTAAGGTCGAATACCAGAAACCCTCAGGCTTACTACAGCAACCGGAGATACCAGAATGGAAGTGGGAGCGGATCACGATGGACTTCATAACCAAGTTGCCCAAGACAACGGGTGGTCTCGATACCATTTGGGTTATCGTAGACAGATTAACAAAGTCCACACACTTCCTGCCTATCAATGAAACTGACAAGATGGAGAAACTAACAAGAACATACATTAAGGAGATCGTATGACTGCATGGTGTTCCCATATCCATTATCTTTAATATAGATAGTAGATTCACTTCAAGGTTCTGGAAGCCGCTACAAGGTTCCCTGGGAACTTGGCTGGACATGAGTATAACCTACCATCCACAAACCAACGGACAAAGTGAGAGGACTATTCAAACTTTGGAAGACATGTTGCGATCCTGTGTGATAGACTTTGGGAAGGCATGGGATACTCATTTACCCATTTTTAAGTTTTCTTACTACAATAGTTATCACACGAGCATAAAGGCTGATCCATTTGAAGCTCTCTATGGCCAAAAGTGCATATCCCCTCTGTGTTGGGTTGAGGTGGTGACACACAATTAGCTAAAGGACGAGTTCCTGACAGCACTCCCATAGGTCCTGAAATCATTCGGGTAACGACAGAGAAGATCATTCAAATTCGTGAACGATTGAAAGCCTCTAGAGACCTACAGAAAAGCTACGCAGACAAGAGAAGGAAACCATTGGAGTTCCAGGTTGGTGACTGCGTTTTATTGAAAAGTCTCATCCTTAAAGGGCTTAATACGCTTCAGAAAGCATGTAAAGCTAAATCCAAGATACATAGGGCCTTTTGAGATTATCGCTAGAATCAGCCATGTAGCTTACAAACTCAAACTACCTCAGCAGCTTAGTAACGTACACTCTACTTTCCACGTTTCGAACTTGAAAAAGTGTCTATCCGATGAGACTCTTGTAATCCCACTCGATGAGATCGAGATCAACGAGATCCTCAACTTCGTGGAAGAACCAGTAGAGATCATGGGCCGAGAGATCAAGCAAACGAAGCAAAGCCGTATCCCGATAGTGAAGGTTCGCTGGAATGCCAAGCGGGGACTTGAATTCACTTGGGAGTGCGAGGATCAAATGAAACTGAAATATCATAGTATTTTCACTTACACAAATATTTCGCTCTCCCTACAAGAGACTCTGGTTATAAGTCAGGAATTGGTAGGTACTTAGATACGTACATGAAGGCGTCTCACAAATTGGTTCAACGAGTTTATGAGTAATAAAGGGAAAAAACTTTCAGTAAATAACATGTAATCTTTGTAAAAATAATCTGTTTGTCCCATGAACTATACCTAACATAGTTTTTAAGTTTGTTTCCGTGTTGTAATCTGACCTTAGTAAAATAGTTTCCTTTGCTACATAAACTATACCCATTATAGTTTATAAGTTTGTAAAATAGTTCATTTGTTCCGTTGATGTAAAAACCGTTGCGACTTAAGATATTTTGTGGTATTTCTATATGTTTATAACGAGTTGTGAGACCTGTTATTACGTGAGTTTATTTTAAAAAAAAAGTTAAATATAAAAGTTTAAACATTTGAGAAGTTTGAATTTATAAGGAAAATTGTTATGTAAGGTACTTCTATATGTTTATAAGTAGTTGTGAGAGATGTGTATTATATAAGTTTGTTTAAAAATAAAGTTAAATATAATGGTTTAAACATTTGAGAAGTTTGAATTTATAAGGAAAATTATGATGCAAGGTACTTCTATATGTTTATAAATAGTTGTGAAATCCACGTACCATATAAGTTTATTTAAAAAAAGACATTAAATGTGAAGGTTTAAATATCTGAAAGTTTTGAATTTATAAGGAAAGTGAGAAAAATATTGAATTATTGAAATTAAAATGTTCCGTTTTGTTTTAAATTTAAACAAAATAGTAATTTAGATATAATCTACTCTAATAAGTGATTTTTTTTGCCACGTGTCACTCTCATTTAATTTGTCAAATATCATTTTGTGATTATTTTGAATTAACTTCTTTTCCACATTTCATGCTATGAGTTTTTTCTATTTTAATAAATTCCCCATAATATTTTAATGTAATAATTACAATAAATATAATAATAAATGAATATCAATTTAATTAATGGACTGACATTCTTATTTCGAAATATTCAAATTAAAGTTTATTAGTTTATTTATTTAAATATAAAAGATTAAAAAAATCAATTTGAATAATTCATTATTTTTTTTATTTTTTTTATAAATCCAAAGTTCTTAAATATTTAGATATTTATATTTAATTTTTTTTAATTAACACATGTAATACATGAATCTTACGCCTAATTATAAGGGGATTAAGAAAAGGATTTAATAGATTCCACGGATCATTATGAGTTGGAAATGTATAGAAATAAAACAACTTCCTAATCACTATGATTTAATAGATTCTATATATCATTAAGTTTTTTTTTGAAAGAGCAATCTATATATCATTAAGTTGCAAATGAGTAGAAACAAAAAATATAAACATATTAAGCATATTTAATTTCCATATTTAAATGTCTACAAGTCAAGTTTTCAAAGCTGAGGTATCAAGTCAAAGATGTGTTGCTAATTTTCAAAGTAAGTTTTCTATATTATTTGATGTGAAGTTGAATAGTCTTTCGTGGTTGAAAAGAGTCGACCAACAAAAGTACACTATAAACTTTCAACCAAAACTACGTCTACCACCATTTCAAGAACACATCATCAATGGAGGTTTATCGCACTATCCTTGCGTTTCTCTCCGGTCTTACATTCTTCATCTTGTCATGTTCTTCTGCAGTAGATAGATTACACATAAACCAACCAATCAAAGATGGAAACACCATTGTTTCACATGGCGAGATGTATGAACTCGGGTTTTTTAGCCCAGGAAAGTCCAAGAATCGCTACCTCGGAATATGGTACAAGAAGATATCAACTTTTACAGTTGTATGGGTTGCCAACAGGGAGACACCAATCAGCGACACATCTGGTGTCTTTCATGTCACTAAAGAAGGAACCCTACTGATATCAAGTCGAAACAACAATACGCTCATTTGGTCATCCAACTTGACTATATCTTCCGTTATAATTAACCCCGTTGCACAGCTTTTAGACAATGGAAATCTTGTGGTGTGGGATGAGTTGTATAGAAACAAAGAAAAACTCATCTGGCAAAGCTTTGATTACCCTGGTAACACTTTACTTCCAGGAGTGAAACTAGGGAAGGATTTGATATCAGGAAGAGAGTGGTTCTTAACATCATGGAAGAACCCTAATGATCCTTCTAAAGGTTTGCATAAATTATGGGTAGACACAAACGGATATCCACAGATCTTTGTGGGAGAAGCTCAAGATGCTCAAACGTGGATCAGGATTGGACCATGGAATGGTATTGGGTTTCAAGGTCTTCCTGTAGACAACATGAATCCAATTTTCTACATAGAATTTGTTCTCAATAAGAAAGAAATATATTATACATATAAAGTTAAGAGTCGAACGTCTATTCAAAGGTTTATTTTGGTGTGGGATGGCATAGCACGAAGGCTACAGTGGATTAAAAGAACCCAAGAATGGGTCGGGTATGGGAATGTGTTGGTTGATTCTTGTAGTCGTTATGGACCATGTGGTCCTTTTGGAAGCTGTAGCATTAAAAGATCTCTTCCTTGTAGTTGTTTGGAAGGTTTTGAACCAAAAGTCGCTGAAGAATGGAATGCATGGGATTGGTCAAATGGGTGTCAACGTAAAAAGCCATTAGATAATTTAGATTGTAGGACTTCGGATGTGTTTCACAAATTTTCAGGTGTGATTTTTCCAGATACACGTGGCTCATGGTATAACAAGAGTATGAATCTTGGAGAATGTGAAGTGGTTTGTAGAATGAATTGTTCTTGTTCTGCTTATGCTCATTTAGATATCAGAAATGGTGGAAGTGGATGTTTGCTTTGGTTTGATGAGCTTATGGATATTAGAGAATATGATGGTGATCATCAAGAACTTTACATAAGAATGGCAGCCTCTGAGTTATCAGGTATACAAATTTTATTTTAAAGGTTGAATTAATGTATTGGTTTTGATTTGTAAGTTTACTAATTATTTTATTCATTAGCAAAAGGGAAATTCGGCTTCAACAAGAAGAAGGGAGAACTTGCCATGGTGTTATCAGTTTCATCAGTTGCATTGCTTCTGGCTGCAGTAGCATATGCATGTATAAAGAGAATGAGAAGGCTTCATAAAATGGGAAGAGGTAAAACAAGTGATTGATTCTTCTTCAAGAAATGAAACATGAACAAGTTAACACTTAACATTACCAATTAAATGTTTTCAAGAGTATGATTTTTGGCAGATTCGTGTAAACATGAGAAATTGAAGATGAGTTTTTTTTTGTAGGAAGCAAGGATAAAGATCATACGAGTGTTCACATGGAAAACCTAGATGAGCTACCGTTTTTTAGCCTTCATAAAATAGCCGAGGCAACCAATAACTTTAACATTGATAACAAGATTGGAGAAGGTGGTTTTGGTCCCGTTTACAAGGTAATTAACGTGATGATTCTTTTGAGATAAAACACAATACATGTCTTTATTAACAAAGTAATATTAGAATCATTAGCTCCAATATTTATATGTAGGGTGTGTTGGAAAACGGGAGAGTAGTTGCTGTAAAACGTCTCTCAGAAACATCCCAACAAGGACTTGATGAGTTCCAAAATGAAGTCATTTGTATTGCCAAACTTCAGCATCGAAATCTTGTTAAGCTTCTTGGATATTGCATTCATGGAAATGAAAGGATTCTAATTTATGAATACATGGATCACAAAAGCTTGGACTCTTTTCTATTTGGTTTGACTCCTTCTAATGCCTTGCTTTCTCATTTGTAACAACATGCATAGACTAAGTAATTCATATTTCACAGATGAAACTAGAAGTTCGATGCTTGATTGGCCTCAACGCTTTCACATTATCCATGGTATAGCTCGGGGTATTCTTTATCTACATCAAGATTCACGCCTTCAAATCATCCATAGAGATCTCAAGGCAGGTAATATCTTGTTGGATAGTGAAATGAATCCAAAGATATCTGACTTTGGCCTAGCTCGAAAGTTTGTAGGGCATGATGCCATTGCTAAGACAAAGAAGGTCCTTGGAACACAGTAAGAATCCATAAAACATTTACAAATAAAAACAAACGTGAATTCAAATTCCACTAATCTCTTTTTCTTAAATAAATTTGGTTGTAGTGGATACATTTCTCCGGAGTATGCAGTACATGGCCGTATCTCTATAAAGTCGGATGTATTTAGCTTCGGTGTTGTTGTGTTGGAGATTGTGAGTGGGAAGAAAAACAGAGGATTCTCTCATGAGGGTCATAGTGACAACCTTCTTGGACATGTAAGTTAATCTTGTAGACTAAAAAAGACAAGAAAACTATTTGTTATGTAACTATATTTTGTAAATATATATGGAGCCCCATACTAACTCTCCAAAAATACACTTGTGGAGATAATGAAAATTCCAACATATATAGCCCTTTATAAGACTGTAGCGTACTGATATGGATACACCAACATATTTTTCTGATATTTGGATTTATTCAGGCGTGGAGACTATATAAAGAAGGCAAGTCCATTGAACTCGTGAGTGCATGTTTACGCGACTCTTGTGTCATGTCTGAAGTACTACGATCAATACATGTTGGATTATTGTGTGTGCAACATCATGCAGAAGATAGACCAACTATGTTGTCAGTAGTTCTGATGCTGATTAGTGAGGGGGCATTGCCTCCACCTAAACAACCAGCTTTTTTCACCGAAGATAGTTACCATGAAGTTGATAATGTTTCATCCCCAATGGAATACACGATCACATTATTACATGCTAGATAGAAAACATGTGCCTGTAGTATACTAACTTTTTAACCATATATTCAAGGTAACTATCAAGTCTTTGGAACGAGTGACATCATGAGCATTTCCAAGACATTTCTTTTAGTGGCATCTACGAAAAGTATTAATGGCAAAATCAAGCTTGAAAGTTTGTGATCTAATTTTCTTCAATATTTTGAATAGTACAACACATTTTGGACTTGATTTACCCTTTTAGCAAAACCTCATCATACCTTTCAAAACTGATATATGTCTTGGTATGTGTTGGCACACTACTTGAACTAGGGGTGTGAATTTGGACCACACCGGACTAGACCGGTTTGGTAGAAATTGGTGGACCTTGAACCAGACCTGTTGAGGCTCACTGGGTCCACGTCCTGGGTTTTTCGATTCTTGTACCCATTGGATCGGTACAACTTTAGGTGTATACGGTACAACTCCTTGAAACCCTACCGAAAGCTAGTTTATCTATTACGACGTAGGGGTGAGCATTTGGACTGAACCTAATTGTCTCTTGGACCAGACCAGTTAGGCAGAAATTGGTGGGCCTTGGACCGGACCTATTGAGGCTTACCGGGTCCAGGTCCGATCCAGAGGTTCAAATGCTCATCCCTAACTCGAACCGTCCAATGATTTTTCTCGATACTTTTTTTTCAATTGCTAAAACCACAATTTTTGTTGATATTATCCATAAATTGGATGGATGCGTAAAAAAACTTATATTTCGCTAATTTTGGTCATCACTCAAGATCTTGAACAATTGTATACTCTCCCGTAACAAGCTTTCTGTTTAGTGTCTAAAAAATAAAGTGTCCATGAGGATTATTCCAAAATGAATTTAGTAAAAGTTAAAACCCAAACACATGGAAGAAATATAAATACATAAAATAAACATACACAATCCATAAGAAATCCAAATTCTAATACTATCAAATACGGAAATACCTTATTCTATTTCTAACAAATTATATCTTTGCAACTTGTGTATATGACAATGAAGGTGAACAAGTTCAAAACATATAAATCAACGAATGAATACTCACTTGTTGTGATGTCATATTGTTCGACAATTTCTGAAAAAAAAAAAAAAAAAAAAAAAAAAAACTTGCATGATACCTTCTGCCTAACCAGTATTAACAGGAACATAAAAGTTAAAATGAATGTTCAATAATATTTCACTGTCATACTTTCACAATGTATATTATTATTTTGTGTTAGATATTAAAAAAAAAAAAGTATTAACTTAACCCTTTCACAATTTCCATGGCATACTTAATTGTTAAGCTATTGATTTGACAGGATGAAATAGAGATGTATACAAAGGGTAGGATCGTCATTACCAACATACACAACCTTTAGAATGTAATCAAAGGAGCTATAGAATTAGTCTCCAAGCTTGGTGAATAATTTCATCAATGACAAAGAGTTGTGATGTGTTAGAGGGTCTTCGAATGAAATCTGCATAAAATTATGTACTTTTAGATCAGGGAAACTTCAATTTTTTTACTCTGTTTAAGAAAAAACAAGAAATTGAAGAAATTGACCAAGAGTTTGACGCAAGATATCAACAACAACAAATCTATTCCCTGCAACTACTAGCTACTCATATTTAGCAACCCTAAGTGTTGCATTACGTAAAATTTTAAAGAGAATGTAGGCATGAATATTTGTTTTTGTTATGAACGGAAAACAGCACTAACCTTGCCATGAAATGTGAAAAAATGGGGACAATTTTCTCTTTTATTTCAGAGTTCAATCTGGTTTCTTCTGTTTCCATTCTGCAGGATTAATTGGAAGGTCGTTGTGAGATTAAGAGTCGTGATGGCGTCTGCGTCAAAGAGAAATCCCTGATTCGTGATTGGCTGAATGCGTTTCATTGACAGCCCGAGACCAATGGTGATGAAACCGTTGTGAGAGTCGGAAATCGGGAGAATTGGAGGTTGAGAGCTTTTTAGTGAACGATTTGGGTTATTAGGAGGGTTTTTGGATACCTTTTAAACCTTAAAACTCATTTTGTAAAAGGATTTTACATGTAAAAGGATTTCTAAAAAAGTAGTATTTTAAAATGTGTTAGATGTGCAAAAGTCAAAATCTAAAAAAGGTATGAATATGTCTTTTGGTGAGTCTTTATTTTTGGCCAAAAATTAAAATGAAAAATTATTTTCCTTTTATCAAAGGATTTTAGGGTTTTTTTTTTACTTTTTGAAAAAGATAATTAAATAAAGGTAAAAAGTTGTTTAAAAAGGCATCCCAAACACTCTCTAAGTATAATAATTTTTTCTTGATAAAACTTTAAAAATAGTCCTTGTGGTTTTTGAAAATATCAAGTTTAGTCCCTAAGTTTAAAAATCTCACAGATCGTCTATGTGGTTTCAAAACTTTGAACATTTGGTCCTTCCAGCTAACTCCGTTACCATTTAACCGTTAAGTTATGGTCATTTTTGTCATTTCACTATATAGAGACCATTTATGAAGTTTTCAATTACTTCTTTTAAATAAATAAATAAATAATATTTAATATGCAATGGGTCCCACCCTCTCTCTCTCTTTCTCTCTCTCTCTCTCTCTCTCTCTCTCTCTCTCTCTCTCTCTCTCTCTCAAGAAATGCAGAACTTCCCCTCAATCCCATGCCCACCACCACCACCGGTTACCTATAATCACCACCAGTTACCGATAACCACCACCAGTCACCGACATCCACCACCCACTTATTTCGGCACCACCACTATCTGCCTATTCTGGAACCATCACAACCCACATTATCGATTCAGCAACTGTCACCCCAAGATCAAATCCCAAAATCAAATTTGAACCTAGAAATTAAGACCAAAACAAGATCAAATCCTGAACTCAAAACCTAACCAAAGTCAAACCCTAAAATCGTGAATCAAAACCTAAGCTGAAATCAAAACCAAATTTGGAAATCAAAACCGAAACCGCAAATAAAAGCAGACATGAACACCATTGTTCCTCTCTTTTTGGACGGCGTCGATGAAGAACATCAAAATCCTACCCTAGATCAAGCAACATTAAAGAGCCCAAATCAAGTAACATTGAAATCCGACCAACATCTAAGTATCTAGTCTCGTTTTCTTCCGTCTTCAATCTATTTTACTTCCTCTCTTCTCTTGATAACTCCGATAAAGAACACCAAAATACGCCCCTAAAACTAACATGAATCAAAAATCAGACTTATGATTGCAATCAAAACCAAAATCCGTAATTTCATACATCGATTAATCAAATAAAGTGAATCAGTTATCAAACCTGAAACTAATACATTCGAAACTGTAATCAAAATCAAACTTCATCCAATTTCTGTTTCACTAGGATTTTAATATAGGTGGTGGTCGGAGATGGAGAGGTGGGGCAATGATGGTTTTGAATAAAGAGGGGAGCCAGTGATGATGGGATTTGTAAGAGAGTGTTGCGAAAGAAGAAGGGTGATGGGAGAGGCGGTGACCGGAGATGGAAATGTGGTGGCGATGATTCTCTTAGAGAGAGATGACGCCAAAGTATTATGATGTCAGGTGAGATACGAAGAGGGAAGAAGGGTACTTGAAGCCTGCCGCCTGAGCCCTGAGTGAGAAGTTTAGCGAGAAGGTCACCGATAGTAAACTTAGGTTGCTGGTGGTGAGTTATTGCACTTTTTATGTGGAGAGAGATAGAGAGAGAGGGAGGGAGGGAGAGAGAGAGAGAGAGAGAGAGAGAGAACCATTCATATTAAATATTATTTATTTATTTATTTAAAAAAAAAAGAAATTGAAAACCTCATATAGTGAGATGACAAAAATGCCCCTGTCTTAACAGTTAAATGGTAACGGAGTTAGTTGGAAGGACGAAATGTTAAAAGTTTTGAAACCACAGGGACGATCTGTGAGGTTTTTTGAACTTAAGGACTAAACTTGATATTTTCGAAAACCACATGGACCACTTTTGAAGTTTTATCTTTTTTCTTTTATTAAAGGACTTTTAGGGCTCTTTTACTTTTTGAAAAAAGATAAAATCAAAAAGTTATTTAAAAAGTTATGCCAAACACCCTCTAGGTATAGTAATTTTTCATTTTCTTTTTAGGAGAAATTATTGGAATCATCTTTTGAGATCCTAATTTTTTTTAATGTTATTTTTATTTCGATTGTCTTTAGGTTTTGATTCTATTAGGTGTAAGTCTTTGTCTTATAGAAAATGACTATAATGCTTTTAATATTTTCTTTTTTCTTTTTTATTCTTTTTTAATTAAAGGAAATGAATTAATTGATGTAAACTCACTTGCACTCCGGCTCCCATACTAGCCACTGTTAGCTATTGCCAATCACCACCGAAACATAAATACATGTACTACAATACTATCAGAATTGAACCTCAAACAATTATCAAACTATAATCTTGATGGATTTATTAGGTTACAACAAAATGCTTAATGTGGAAAACACTTAATAATTAAGAAAGACACATGCAACCTAAAAAGATTTATGTCTTTACATTAATGCAACATACTTTTAATAACAAAATCTTATATGCATCCTAGTAATTTCAAAATTAGAAGCTAAAGATACATACCTCAAACTTGTTATAACAAACAAGTTACTTCAATCATTCATTTGAAGAGCTTTGAAAGTTAGCACCAAAAGGAGGATGACTATAATGGCTCACACCTAAATCTAGAACTAAAATACACTTGAGGAGAGAGGAAGAGAGATATAAATTCTCATTCATAAGCTTCTAAGAAAGATTATTCATGAAAATTGATGCCAAGGGGTCCTATTTATAGTTTAGGTAACTCAGGCATAAAACAAGATTTGAATTATTAAAAAATGAATTTAATTCCAATTTAAATCCTTTCCTTATTAACATCTAGGAGGCTTTTAGAAACCCTAGAAGAGCTCCCAAAACCATCCAACCTAGGATGGTTCTAGAATTGCCTATTTTGTTCAACTATTGAACAATTGCAGTTCACCCCTTATATATTCAAGTGATTCCAATTAATCCCAAATTAATTCCATATTAATTTTGATTAATAATTCATCTATTCTAATTGATTTCATATTAATATATTAATCATATAAATTAATAAATCAATTATTTTAGCAATTGATATCATATTAATTTATTAATCACATAATAAA